TAAATTAGATGAGAATGCAGGGAATAGCAAAAATCTTACATGAGGGCTAGCTAATACACCTGCTATATTGGCAGCTCTCTACCACAGCCTTTTTGTTCCATGTGAAAAATAGATGAGGATGTTAGTACAAATATAACACACGTAGAGGTACATAATTCAGATACCAGCTCCTTCATCTTCCCAGGAAATGCATAACATTATTGCCAATTGATGGCAATAATCTGAGGTAACGTCATCAAATTAGCAATAAATTATCCACGTGTTTTTACATGTATGCACAATTAATTCCCAGAATAAGATACCAAAGAGACCAGTGGACTCCCCACCTTTTGGTTCTTCTCAGCAGAGTAGACTGCCTTTCTAGAAAGATTCCCTAAAGGATTAAACCCAGGCAGTGTGTTCCACAAAGGGATAGAGCAGGGTATGTGCAGCTGGTGACATGCAAGAGGTCAGACAAGATGACCTCCATCTCTCAACAAATATTGAACTCTTCAGGTATAAACCTGGAAAATTAATTCAAAAGTGGACTGGGCACACTGTATATTTGCACATGCTTAAAGTACAGAAATTTCACTCCACCATAAAACATTTCCTTTACTGGGTCTAACAAAGTATGGGAGAATTTGTGAGATGCTCTTTATTCCAGAGATTTCTTTGATAATTAGGAGCAAGTCACTTAATTTCTGTGCCTTGATTTACCCACTTCTAGAGAATGAATCCCAGCTTTCCTCAATTCCTCTCTTCATGCTGGAGAGACCTCTGGGAGGAACTGCATAAATGTATTCTTCCAAAAAGGCGCAAATAATCTGAAAACTCGGGTAAGGCACCACAGGACTGATGTTTCAAATAGATCAGAGAGCTTTCACCCTGCAGAAGGTACTCATGTTACCTTGGTCAGCAATCCATCTGTACTGTGAACCTTGATGAGATAAATATAATTGTCCTCGGGCTGGTTATGTAACGAGCTTGCTTTGCAATTTAACTAATGAATGTGTGGAGTCAGATTAATCTTCTGACTTCAAAAATTTCTCCCAATGGGAAACATATAGCCCCTGCCTATCTGTGACATTATCCTCTTCCTACAGCCAGAGTGATTTGGCCACTTGAATGTTTGTTTTGCTTATGTATGTAAAGCTCATGTGTTCACAGATTTTTCTCTGGAAGAGGGGGAAGGACCTCAAGATTCCTTGAGGTTTTACAGCTGGGTCTGTGGGCTTTCCAAGTCAAGGCCATTTGGTGGGATGATTTTAGTTGCTGGTATGGTACAAGTTGCTGATTTGGGATTTTTTCCAGTAGGGCCATATTTCATCCTGCGCTCCCTTAGTCTCTGAAAGCAGTCCATTTCAGAAAAATAGTAGTCTGGTACTATTGTTGGTTCATTAGTTGAGGTCAAGAGATTATTTTAATCTTGATATTTTAATTTCCTCATTATGCTCTTGTTTTCCTTCTCAGGAGCCATCTAGAAAATGTAAAGATACTGGATACAGAAGATCCAGTAAATGCTTATGACAAATGAAACATGACTTCTAAGAGTAACATACATTTTGTAAGAGCTTTGCCAACTGTAAATTATACCAAGTGGGTCAATTTTTGAAGTCAACTTCCTAGTTAAACTGTCACACAGTACAGAATTGCTATTTAATATTGGTGATTAATGACTGCAGAGTCCAGTCTAATTTCCAAGCAGACTGTCAGTGGCACTCAGTAATCAGCAGAGTCCAGAGTACAAGTGCTTGGCAATCCTTTTATGCTTTGTGATCCAATTCAGGTTGCTCATTTTCCACAGAGAGGAAACAAGGGAGGGAACTGATATGAAAATGCTGGCCTGAATGCTGGAGCTGTGTCTACACTTGATTATTCCCCTCCTAGGGTTTTTTCCCATTCTTCTGTATGCCTCTACAAGCTGAGGCACAATCCCATGGGAGAACATTGGATGTGCATGTGTCCTGCCATTTGGAGGTCAGGAGAGACAGTTTCATCTGGGGGACCCCAAACTCCTCCTGTCTCATCATCCCCACCACTCTGAGGTGTGACCCACAGCTTTTCCTGCTCCTTTGCTGGCATCATTCCTTCTCACTGCTGCTCCACTGAGTCACAGTTCCAGCTGTCCCCTTTGTCCTGGTCCCCATCCCACTGTCCATCCACGGGGGTCAGGGACAAGGGTGTATTTTACCATGGTGGGTACATCATAGAAATCCCCAAGGAATCTCTAGTGCTGTTGAGTACTTGAAAGAGACAGTGTGGCTCAGGCCCCTGGCAGAGCTGTGTGGGCAGGAATGTAACATGCACTGGAGAAAGCTCTTTTATTTCCTCCTTTGTGAGCAGTGTGCTGCCTGGCCTGGACCAGGGACTGGGAGAGAGTGGTCAGTGGCAGGCAAAGAGCTGACCTGTCCCCTGCCTCTTCTGCCCTGGTTTCATGGGGCTCCACAGGAGGATGCACAGGCCTGTGTGTCTGCGGGACACAGTGATCTTTTCAACCCAACACAGATGGCATCCATTACAATATTATCAAATAGCATTGATTGCTACAGTTTCCCCTAATGTGACATGACTAATCTTCTAATGTAGCTTGCACACGGTGTACTGCCAATACTTTCAATGTATGCTGAAATCATTTAGTTGAAGTAAATAAATAAGTCTAATACAATAGAGTTTATGGCATATTGTCCTCCTGGAAATAATTTCAGTGGTAGTGAAGTATGGAATATCTTCAACTTGAAATGTCTGTCCTTATCCCTGTATCTGCACAGCTTGAGATACGTGTACAGATTTATTTTAAAATTAAACAGCTAAATACGTAACGTTTTCCTGCCTCCAATGTATGAATCTATACCAGGAAATTAGAAGTTTATCAAACAGGTGTCAATGCACCAGTCAGATCTATGATACCCTGTCATTTTGGTGCAAATTAATGAATTGTAGCAGGAAAATGTTCTCTCTTTTTGTGATGTTGGTGAAGAAAATCTGCTGTAGGCAAAGGAAGGAACTGATAAATAATACAGTGCACACGCTGTAGTTTAAAGGAGGTTCTTCTATGCTCCTTCCCAGCAGATGAAAGACAGGTTTAGCTAGGATCTTCCATCAACAGGTGTCAAAGAGCTCACCAGCAATTTGGTTCAGAGCCAATAAATAACTCACCTTCTAGGAAAATAATTTGCCTGGTATACATAAAGAAGTATAAATGCCATTCCAGAGTGAAGAATTTGGACAGGAATGAGTGCCCAAGGGGGCTGTTTGTGTGAGCAGGAGAGCAGAGAGCCTTTTAGTCAGAGCAGAGACGTAGAGAATTTGAGTGGAAAGGAAAACAGGAAAGCATATCATGAGATAGGAAAGGCAATTTAAGCAATTCAGTAACATTAGCGTGAGAACAAATAAGTTTGAGCTGGCCCTTAGTCTGGAAACTTAGAAAAGCCTCCCAGCAGTGGGAGGGAGGGCAAACTTGGCTAGTTGCTAGGGTGGAAATTAGGTCTGTAACTGAGCATCTGATGTGGTCACTTGTGACAACAGGGCTCTGGGCTTCCTAATCTGGGGCAAGCAGCCTCAGAGAGACCTCCCATGTGAGGAAGGATTTAAACACAGGCTTTGCTCTGTGGGGATGTATTTGCTAATGTTTAAGCTTCTGTAGCTTAAGCATGTTTTTAAAGTACATTTTATATGCATAGTTCAATTTTGCAGACGGCTGACGCATGAGGTTTGCATATCTGGCCTTGTGACTGCCACGGACATCTGGTCCCGTGCGGGCTGTGTCTCTCCATCCTGCACCCATCCTGGGGGAAGAGCAGCAGCTGCACAGTGCCCCAGATCCAGCACAGCACTGCCTGGCTTTGGAACAACTGTACACTGGTAGGCTGGCTTGGCAGGAGCCCATCCCACGTTTTCTTGAGCAACTTGGAGCTGAGCTGCTGTGCTGTCAGGGCAGAAAAGGCAAATACTACTGCAAGGAAGCATCCATCCAGCTAAGGGTATGGCTGTCACACTTGCTGGTAGGACTTGACGTGTCCCTTGATGGTTTCTTTAAATAAATATTTATCAAGAGATTATATAGTCACAAATAATGCTTTTAAAATGTTTGAAGGGAAACAAACTTGTGTAAGAATAAATTGGAGGCCAAGACCTGGTGGCCATAGATGTTTATATTGAAGGCTGGGGATTTCCTCCTGCCTGTTTTCATGGTACACTGCAGTTGCTTGATTCAAATCCATCTCCAAAGCTGCTTTGCTTCCTGAATAATACTTCCTTCCTTAGGAACAAATGCTTAAGATGGCTGAAATCATTGCATTTATTAGTGATTCATGTAGTTGTAAGATCAGGGTTTCTTTTCATCTATTGAAAATTTTTCTTGAAAAGAAGATCTTTTTTGCTGGTGCTGTTTTTTCATTCAGCTGTTGCATCACAGTGTAGCAGCATGACGCCTCATCTACAGTACAATATTTTATCCCCTTCTTGGGTGCTTTTTAAACTGAAAATTACAGGGTAAGAGGGTTTGATGCAGCCTTAATTTTGCAATGTTCAGAAAATCAACAGAGCTTGTTAACAGACAGGTGATTCTGGAGTTTACAAATTGCTCTTACATGGTTCAAGTGTTCACCACCAAGTAACAGAATAGGAACAATACAGGAACAAGCTGAAGAATCAGATTCCAAACTACAGATTCTGGATTAGTACTTGTGGACCCCATCTTCCTTTTTGAAGGGGAAAGCCAACATGAATCTTCTGCCTTGAAGCAATTTTTAGGATGGTCCACTCGTATTTGTTAGATTTGAGCCAGGTTTATTGTCAGGTTAAAAGAAGAAAAGAAATGCAAGGAAGAACCTGACTGAAAATGAACTTTGGCATATGCCGGAAAGAAAAGTAAAAGCTTCAAGTTACACTGTTGTATGAGCAACCTGCAGACGCTTATCTGCCTGCGGGAGACATGACCGGGAGGGTGTGGCCTTTTAAACCTTAAATTGCTCAGGTTTATGCAATTCACCTTTTCTGTGCCTTCTGTCATGCCACAGGCCTCGCCGTGTGACAGGGGCAGCAGCACTGTGTGCCCACAGAGGGGGCTGAGCCCCGGCCCTGCCCAGCCATGCCAGCCCCTGCCTGCTGATTCTGCACCTGCCCCTCGCCCTGCGGCGCACGGGAGACACGGCAGGGCCACACACGTGAGTTCAAAGCTTGCATCTTCCTTTGCCCTGCTCCTGCTTTTCCCCTCGAGCTTGCTGTGGGTTCTTCCAGAGGAGCAAAGGTGTCAAAAATGCTCTGGTAAACAATCCAGCCCCGTTTAGTGGTGGGGGAGTGGGTCCAAACCTCAGCCTGCACACTCTAGAGTGCCATGCAGCCAGGCAGTGATAAATATCTACTGTGTCTGTCATTAATGATTCAGCTTCCCCACAGCCTAATGTAGAGTTTGTTTTATGTAACATACCCGTAGGTTGCTGTTCGTCTTGGTAGGCAGTGTTAAAATACCACTTACATACATACATGCTGGTGGGCAAAACCACTGCTTAGTTCAGAGCCTTTTTGTTAGCTAGATGTGCTTGGGTTTCTGTCCTCCCTGTTGCTAAGAAGGTCAATTTCTTCAGTAAAGTGTGTTGAAATCCAAACAATTATTTGTGGAGAGGTGCCATTTGTAGTGTAGCTGCTTTAGCCCATCGCTTTATTAATCCTCTGGAAACCCATTTCTTCCCCTCCCCCAGGTTAAAACCCACAAAGTCTCGCTGCAGCTGCAGGAGGTAAATTGAGGCTACATTCACCACTGCTGTATCTTCCTGCTTGATTTTATGCATAGAACTGCAGCTGAGGTGAGAAAAACAAGAGAACTTGATTTCGTTTTTATCTTTAAATTATGCTCTTCACACTTAAGCTTACACTCAGTTCTTTATTCAAAACATCTTGTAATTCAGTACCAGTATATGCAGCGGTTGCAAACCTGTGAATATATATGAATAGGCATAACTTCTCATAAGTTTTATTTCTATCCATAAGACTGATTGTTCATGTGAGAACATGTAAATTCACAGTGCCAACTCAGAACCCAGAACAGCAATGTAGATATGTGGACATCCTCACTCAGCAGAATGTATACTTAGAGTACTCACATGTTTAAACTTCCTAATGTTTTGGGTTGTTTTTAATGACCAGGGATGGACTGCTTGCATCAAGCTCTTAGCCACTTTTACATCTGCCAAAGAAAAACACAAAACCAGAAAAGGTGCATATTAGACTTGTATGTCTTGTTCTTCTATGGTGCCTGATAACTAGGAAAGGCTTCCTTCAACAGCAGGAAAGGCAGGATAACCATAGGTGACTGTTCTGGGCACCATGCAAGGCACTTGCATTCCCACAAACTTTTGTAGAAATGGAGCTCCCACCGCCCAAAACAATTTTCATTTGCTCACTCAGGTTCACACAGAACAACATCAAGGCAGTTCCGTCACTTTATTGAAACAGCAGTGTCTCTTATCTGCTGTTGCTGGAAAAGCACAAATGCTGATCTGCAAATAAAAGCCAGAAATCCCTGTCAGGAATTTGGAAAGCTGCTGATGTGTGAGGAGTTGTATCCTCAATACTCCCATCTACTTTCCTAAGACTGAAAATTCTTCCCAAGGAAGTGATCTGTTACTAATTTGCTATTTTATTCTTCCACCCCAAACCTCAGAGCCTACGTGTATTTTCCAAAGATATAAATTGATTCAATCTGGGAAATCTTGTCTCACTGTTGTCTTATCCTTGCCCCCTGAAAATACTCTCCCACTGCTAATTTCTCTTCCTTGTTTGTGGTCCTGTAGAAGTGTCCTCCCCTTTGCTCATGTGGGCTCTGCTTTTGTAAGGGTGTTCCAAGCCCATGTGTTTGAACATTAACTGCACCAGGACTTCGTTGTAGCACAGAGTTGGAAAGAGGAATGTTCCTGGCTCTGAGTTGTGATCATCTACTAGAAAAGAAAATTGAATTGTCTTTTGGAAGAGGTTTGAATGTGCTGGCATCTTCCCTAGCATAGCTTTTCTGTAGTAAAATGGAAATAAATTTTGCACGCAGGATGAGATGATAGATTAGCTCCATTTCACTGCAAACCAGGAAATCAAGCAGCATTGTTTCCAGAAGGAAAGTAAATTAATACAGGCTTTCGAATGTAGAGGGTCTCCTCAAGGCTGGCTGCTGGAGAGAAGCAGTCTGGTGTTTCTGGAGATGTCAGCCTTGTGTGCAGGGCTGGGTGCTGCCACCTGGCTCCTCTCTCTGTCGGGGCACAGGGAGGCCTGTGGCTCATTTGGAGGGACTCTGTGGCCAGAGCCTTTTGAGGAGGTAATGAGACCCGACTCCTGTTAAAGGGGGACACTGGTGTCCTGCAATGCAGTCTGACTGAGCACTTGTTTGCAGCTCTTTCACAGAAATTAGAAGCAGGGATGGACATATATGCAGTTGATCTTTCCAAGGCTTTCCCTAAAGGCTCAACGTGAATCTGCAAAAGCAATCATTATCTGAATCATGGGATTCAAAAGGATTCAGCACAGAAGACAAACTTTCACCTTCAAAACATGTTCAGGGAATGGCTGGTTGGCAGTTCCTGTTGTGTACAACTGCTTCCCATTGTGTACCGTTCTCATCCCACTGAGTAAAAATCAATTCCTCCTTTATAAGGAGCTAAATACTCAAACTTCCTACCTATCTGTTCATGGAATCCTCTCATTAGTCCTCCAATTTGACTTTAATACACCCACAACATTCTTACTGAAACAAAGATTCTTGATAAAATAAATAGGTTTTATCTGCCAGAAATTTGTTATTAAGGAATGCTTCCAATTTCTCTGTCTGGATTGGTATATCTTTCAGAAAATGGCTTGTTTGAAAGCAGATAAATTTTGATTGATTTTAGATATAATTTCTGGCAACTTTTTGCTAATCTTTTCCCCAACCTTTTGCTTTCCATGCTTACAGCTACATGGTATAGATTGTGTTAAAATGCTGATGTTAAAAAAAGTATAGGTGATGCTATTATCTTATTTTGTTTCCTACTACAAATCTGATTTAGTACTATATATTTCATAGTATCAGTTCTCACAGGACTTTACAGGTAGAACCCAGTGCTGGAAAGTGTAGCTTTGGGTTCTCATAGTTTCTGAGAACTCATCTAATCACACTACTGCTATTTAAAAGAATATCTCAGTTTAGATCCAGTCAAAAAGGGTCTGAGGCACTGAAATAAATATGACTTGTAGGAGGAATTTCAAAGAATTAAAAAATCCCCTTGCCTGCCTGCACACAGCAGATAACATCTGATTGTAAGAAAGGATACAGGAAGCAGGACAATTTGAGCATGTAATTCCTAATTGGTTTCTCATCACGGGACTAGACAGCACACAATTGGTCTCCATACCCACAGAACCGGTTCTGGAAGCAGATATTAACTCAGCCACAGACCTAACTATCTTTCCCAGGCTGGTGTCACTCGTGTGTCCTGGCTGACAAAACCTTACTAAGCCTCTTGTTGTTAAGGGGAATATTACAAGGCCATCAGCAACACATGCATGTTAATTAGCAATGGGCTTTGGGGGAGTTCCCATGAGGCCCCAATTAAAGCAGTGATTAATCAAGTCCAGTGAGTAGTACCACACTCAGGGATGTTGCTTCCCAGCACTGAGCAGATGAAGACAGAACCAGGCTTTACAGGATGTGTTTTGGTGTCTGAGGGTTTGGTCACTATAATAAACAAAATTTACTTGCTGAGACTTTTGTTGGGCAGGGAGCTTAGTCATTATCCTGCTACAAAAAAAAGATGCCGTGGAACAGAAACTATTGCACAGCCTCATCTAGAGAGATCTGCTTCCACTCCTGCTTGAATACTTTAGGTTTACCCAGTCCTTTCCATTTTAAACAGATCTATAAGCTCTACTGCACACCTGACTCCCAAATGAGCAATAGGGACTACCAGCAGATAAAATGGGCACTGTCAGCATACTTTGTAAGAGAGGTCTGTTCAAGAGCCAAAATGTAACTTGTGTCAGCCCCATAAAACTGACAGTCAGACCACAGTAACTGGGCTGCTGGGTTCAGCCTCTTCAGTGTCCAGTTTATCTCCCTCTTCCCAAGAGTACATTTTTCTTAAATGTGATATTCAGTACTTAGCAGTGCACAAAATTGTAAGGTCATCAAAGTTTCTTTCCCTTGTCCACCAAAATTTCTATTTATGGCTGCATACTGTGTGTTTTCCCATCTTTTTGAAAGCTTCCCCTAGTCTGTACCACTCCCCTAAGTTGTTCAAGTTTACCTGCTGACTACCTGACCAGGGCTTGTGCCCTCCTTTATCCAGAGTCCTGAGTGGGACTGGGCCCCAGCAGTTGTGACCCTGGGACTGAGTGGCAAGGAATGCTTTCAGATTGTGTTGTTTTAAACAGCAGAGTGTCACTGTGCCATGCAGTTCTTCAATAGGGACTGTTTTTTCTGCTTAAGATTTGTTTATTTAGTCATTTTTGTGGACCCAAGTAGCAGGAGGAGGAAAGAATAAGATTCAAGTATAATTTAGGTTATAGACAATTACAGACCTATAATTTTAATTGTATATAGTATATAATATTTAACAATAATTTTCATTATTTAATACGGTATAATATAATAATTACATCTAAATCATAGTACAGGAGTTAGGTGAAACATAAATAAACTTGAGATACAGATGATTAAATCCTTGTTCCACTGAATTTGCCTAATTTTTCCTTTGAGTGCAACGAGCCAGAGGTTTTAACCCAGGCATTTGCTTCTATTATTTAGACAAGTTACTCTGGGGAGCCAACTGCTGCAAGTTTCTGCTGTCTCCCCTGCAGGTGCATGTCCATAAAGCAGAGAATGCAATCCTAGAAGTCAGGAGTTTGTGGGGGCTTTCCCTCAGATCAGGTCTAAGAGCATCTCTGTGGCCACCTTGCTGCACAAGGATTCCTGTGACAGAATATGGGCACTGGCCCCACTGGCATGGGGGCAGCCAACTCCCCTTCCCCTGCTCACCTACCCAAGTAGGTGCTTCTAACCATGTGGGTTGCTTCTAAAAAAAGGTCCCCACAGGGTGTTGTGAGAACTCATTAAGCAGTTTGCCAAGTATTAAGAAACTCCTGCATCAGAGAAGCAGTTGTAAAGGCACAGTGTAATTAAAGCACAGTTTACTTTATTATGTGT